ATAAGATCTATGTATTCTATTCATATTTCTTCTAAAAGTTTGAGCCAATTCATGTTTCATTGGAGAAAACCCCAAAACAACAACCCAACGTTAAAATGAAGAATTTTACTAAGAGGAATAGTTCGAATAAATTTTGGGGATTTTTTTTTATATCGCAGATTCCTCTTTTTGTTTACAATTTATTACCGCACGAGACGGTTTTAAACTGTGTTCTTATATACAAATTATCTTTGGAAATCCTATCTTGTCGATTAATATCATTAAAAAGAGGGCGTATCATATTGATCTAGTCTCTCTTTCACGCGTGCCGTGTGCGCATGCGTGAGTACTCGTGAAATTAATAAATTACAAACGGATTCGAACTTCCAACGGAACGAAAAGCAGTGACCTAGTTGGTGCGTCTGCATATTATACAGCAGGAGCTCGGGTTCCCCATCCAGATTTGAGATAATAATACTGTACACGACAGATAAAAAGCAACATAAGGCACAAAATCAATTTCATTTTTTTAACAATAATCAAAATTAAAAAAAAAAAAAAAAAAAAAAAGACAAAACATGTGTTGTTAAAACATGTGTTGTTAAAACAAAAAATGAATGGAAAGTAACAGGCAGGGTGCATGTGTTATTTAATGTTTGTAATGGTTTTTTTTTTTTATTGCCAAGGAACATTTCAGGCTGGTATTTGGGAATTAACGTGTGCAACATTGCGTGTCGAAAAATAGGCAGACCAGAATTTCAATATCAACAGCATGGCTTCCGATCGCATTACGCAAAATCTATAATTTAACAGATTTAATCAAATGTACTTCTGTAGCCAGTGGCTTGCATATTTCTTAACGCGTGTTAATCTCTTCAAGGTGGCGAGCTTCTTGGCCCGGGTAAATGTTTCCTGAGAAAGGAATTAGGTCTACATTTTGAGAACTGAAAACCTTAAATCCCATTATCGGAATGGTTTACAAACTGTTTTAGGTCTAGGTGACGAACGATGTGTGAATGATGAAACAAACATGTAAACGAGTCACTTATCAATAATTCTGTTTTGAAACAGGCCTAGCAGTCCTGCTAAAAGTCTGAGCTGTCCAAACTTTTAAACTTTACTGAAAATACTCACCTTCCCCCAGTCGCCTACTGTCACCATTGAAAATGTTCGAAGAAAATGACGCATAGATTAAAAACACCTGACTGACGCTGCGCGTCTTTAACTGCGGTGGTGGACCTTTTCTATTATCTATTTCTACCCATCCTGATACTCCTACTTTTGGAGTCCTTAGGAGGTCGGCTTTACCCACCAAAACCAGAATCAGACCCTCATATCACCTCAAGCCAGAAGATAATAGTCACCTCGTATCACCTTATTTTGCGAGCTGGCGCCCCCTCACCTAATAAACTCCTCTACTTCAGTGGTTTCCAACCTGGGGTTCGCAAAAAATAATTAGGGGTCCGCCAAGTCAAAGGGGTCCGCAGGGGGTCCACGAAAAATGTAGGGGTCTGCAAATATGTTGGCGGTCCGCTAGATTATTAGAACAATTTTTTCATGATTCCATTATTTTTTTGTTGTCTAATTTAGTGTGATCATGCCTTGACAAAAATGAAATACCTTTGACAGGCGTCACTTCGTTCACTGTAGATTGTTTTCCTTGGCATTATATTTTAATTCCAATGTTTTATTGTTAATCTGATAGAATCTTTTAAATTAGTTTTGTTTGTATTCTCTGTAAAGATGTTTAGTATTTTAAGGAGAGCTACTTGATAGTGGCAGGTAATGTACGTCTTGTTTCCATGTTTTCTCTTCCTTGTATTGCTTTTACCTGGATATTGAATACATTTTTAAAAATCAGGAGGGAGCCCTAAATTGGACAAAATTCAAATTAATTGGGGGATAACTGAATAGGCCTATTACATTCAAATTTTGAGTATGACTGTCATTTTCGGCCATCTACAAGTGCAATAAACATAAAAAATTCCTTATCTCAGTCCCAAACACTGCAAACAGGGTAGGGCTGAGGTAGAGTAAATCCCCTATCTGTAAAATTTACTGTGTGTACCCCTCCCCTCCTGTCTATGTCGAATTCCAAGACCCAAGATGTCGTAATTTGGCGAATCATCTTAATCTATACATAATCTTATTGGCGGAATATCATGAGTCGCCCTAATTATACACGTTAAAAATTAAATGGGTCTGACAGTGCCATTTCCGGTCATCTAGAAGTGGCATAGACAAAAAAAATCGTGTACTTCAGCCCAACCATGGTGAGGCTGAGGTGGTTTCTATTTCGAATTCCAGGATTCGCCACTGTTTAATCAAGGAAGTATAAAAATATGTTTATAGGCCTACCTCCTTGGTTTAATGATGTACTTTTGTGAATCATCTTCTATCTGTAGGCCTAATCTAACTGTTGAGATATGGACAATGAGTAGGCCTACTATTTGAACATGGGGGTTTTCGTGAAGACTTTGACATGTCCAGAGAGTGGTCCGCGAACGTAAAAAGGTTGGGGACCACTGTCTACTTCACCTCGCAACCGTCTCGCATCGCGTGCGGGACGGTCCAGCATTTCAAAGTCATTTTAAATGAAACACGCATTTTGCAGAAACACATGCATGTTCAGAAATATCACGCATTTAGCACAAGCCTATGCTTGTAAACGAATTATCACGAATTCGGGGGAAATGTATTTAAAATTAGAGGAAATTGGTTTTATTAAAATTATAAAAATGTACAGTATTTACGCGAGTACTTAATTAATCGGTATGCATCTTTTTTGTTTGAGTAATGAAATGTTTGTGTACATAGTTCGGGTGCTTAATTTGTACGTAGTCTTGTATGTATTGTACCCAGTATTGTCAACAAACACTTCCTGAAATCGTTTAAAAACAGCTTAAAAATTCTCATCGTCGGAGAGCGCCAGGGGAATTCACCTCCTGCCCCCTCTCACCAAGGATCCGCCCTAGACCCCGGCGGGGGCCCTGTCCACTCCCAGCCATCTGGTATAGTCATTTCAAATCTCTCAGGCTGATAACTATGCCTTCGGCGAGTTGGATGGCAGAGTGGGATACGGTAATTTGGCTCAAATGCACTTTAAAGAACCAACAAGTAGTAATAATAGTAATAATAATAATAATAATAATAATAATAATAATAATAATAATAATAATAATAATAATAATAATGATTAATAAAGCGCACATCTCCACCAATTGTGCTCAAGGCGTAGTGTTATTTTCACTACAAAATAAACAAAATCCATATTTATTCCCAGAATTTCGAACAGAATCCGTAAACCAATTATCCCATCGAGGCAGTGTTGCTCCCCATATAAGTATGCGCAGATACTCAAAGGCAATATGTTGAGCATCAGCATCTTCCACCCCAGCATAAGCCCCGGGCTCCATTACCGTGCACTGCAAAAGGAGCAACATTGCGTCGACAGAGAAAAGTGGTATCATGTTTTTTTTTTTGTAAATAATTTAAATTCTACAGAGGAACATCAAGGCTCTCTATACGCCTCGGTGAAGAGATGCAATTTTAAAGTTTTTTTAAACACATTTATAGATCTAATAATATATGTTTGACGGAGCAAGGCAAAGCGTTCCAAAGACGTGGAGCAGCAATACTAAAAACTCTATCCCCGTAAGAGTAATATGACTTTGGTTGATGTAGAAATAGTTTGTCACAAGAACGCAAGTTACGCCCAGGAATGTAAGGCCGAATCATATCAGCAGTCGGGAGTATTTGTTATGTGCAAGTACTTGGATGACTTGTTAACTACACGTGCAGCAGCATTTTGAATAAAATCATCTTTCGAGACGAGTTTTTGATGATATTAGGCGTGATGCTGTCAGCCACCAAATTGATACCATGACGATAATTATGGTTACCAAGTGATGTTGATACCAATCTACCACGTTGGGGTAGCATTTCCGACTTCAGACTGGAATTACTTAGTTTTCCTATTTTACAGCCTATTTTCATATTGTCATAATTCATTAAGTAAAATTTCTTATAATTATATAGAATAATATTAGGAAGTATATTACTGTACTATTATTATTATATTACATATATTAATATTATATTAAAATCGTGACTTGCTCGATATCTGTAGAAAGAATTTCTATCAAACTAGCAGTTGTATCATAATCATGAATAATATTTTATAGAATTGTAATGCAACGATAGAGTACATTATCATCAATTACATAACCATAACGTTGTCGGTAAGGATAACAACTGTAAGGAAGTTGTAAATGTGATCTTTTGTGGGTTCTGCAAATGGTCTGTATTTCTCCCATGGACCCGACTGAGAAAATAATGCTTTCTCGTTCTGATTGAAATTTAACCACAAGCACTCCAAAAAAATGATGTCAACGTCTATTAGAACTCGGAGAATTAGAATTAAATTATAACGTGCTACAGTATGTTTTGATATTCCACTGTACACTTTCTCGCCACGGGCCCTTTGACTGTACACCATCACTGTATTCCATTTTTTAAAAATTTATCAGACTAACGTGAGATTTTCACAGGCGGCTTGGTATTTTAGGAGAATGGTCTAGCTCACACCAGATATGCAAGATCATGGCGAAATGAAACTTAGTAGCTAGTGTTGCCAATATTTACAGATACCCTTCTTGTTTTCATTATAATGGGTAGTATGTAATGTTAAGTATAAAACAGTAGAATACTTTTGTTCTCTTGTGACAGGATTAATGGTGTGTATACAAGCTTCCAAAAAACACTCATCATGCACAGAAGCAGTACTTTACTTGCGATTGTATTGTGGTAATTGTAGTTAAAGAGTAAATATAATTATTAACTTCCGTAACTCTTTTGTCATTTATGACAAATAAAGACCCGAGAATGTTTCAACTGATACTCGGTAAAATGGGAAAATATGACATTAAAGATTAAATTACTGTCCTTATTGTTTTATTGTTATGTCTTCGATTATGCAATGTATTTTTTACAATTTTCTACAAACAAAACTAATTCACACCTTCTCCATACCAAAAGAGAACACTTTATTTTCCACATACATCAAAAACCTACCAATGTACCTTGTCAGCATGCAAGAAGGAAACTACTGAAAGGTGCATAATCTATGCCATCAACTAAAAATACATTTTGAAAAAAAAAAAAAAAGGTAATATAAAAGGACAATCTAATGTTCAGACAAAAAATATATCAAGACGATGTTAATCAAGAAGTTATTAATCTTAATGATTAAATCAACTGCCTGGGTTACAGTACCTTACCCTATCAATGTATGCATGTATTGAGGGCTGTGTAGCCACCACCAACAATACTAAAATCTACTGAATATCAATTACATTACAGAAACACAAACTGTTCCTAGGAAAGTTGGAATTATAGTCCATTTAAACTTTCTTTCAATATGTACAGAGCAGATTCAACAGCTATTTTTCCATATTACGTTAATTCAAGCATATCAATGTTCTTCCATTTTGAAGTCACTGTGTTTTTAGTATACGGAGTATAATTTGCATGATTTTGTGTTAATTTATAGACTTTGGATATTTTGATTAGTGTTCAAAATTATTATTGCAAGGATAGTGACATGAGTTATGTATCAAGGAGTTGCGTACTTGCAAGGAGAATGACACGAGTTATGTATCATGGAATTATGTACTTGCAAGGATAGCGACACAAGTTATGTATCATGGAGTTATGTAGAACATACACATACAAACAAAATTAGTCATCCTTCTTAGGGCTAGCTGACCTAGACTTAGATCGTGATCGCGAACGCGATTTACTTCTGTCCTTCTGGCGGGGTGATTTGCTCCCACATGGCGACTTGCTTCGGCTGCGACTACGGCTTTTGCTTCTTGATCGGCTTCTGCTCTTGGAGCGGCTCTTTGATCTTGAGTGTCTGGAGCGGCTGCGAGATCTAGATCTTGACTGGCTGCGAGATGGACTTCTGCTCCTATTATAAAAATAATATGTTAAGAGTTATATAGCACTTCACGCCAACAGGCTGTTTAAGCGCTTCACCATGAATCAAACAGATATGAGGCTTGCTATCCCAAAACCAGTGTACTGTCGCTAAATGTTAATCTGAGTAATTAGTATAAGAATGTTCCAGTATTGTATACTTTAGTACAGAAAAGCTGTCAAACTTTTACTCATAACTTTTGCCATATGAAGTCGATTCCAGTTATTGAACTAAAATTGAAAGCCTATATTGTGGAGAATGAATATTCAATGTTCTTGTTTTGGTCACTGATGCTGGTTTTGGCATGGCAAGCCCCAAATGGAACCACATACTCGGCTCCCTGTGAAGACTTCCAAATTGTTTTGACTAGTCATCAGCGCACTAGGTACCTGCTTCTACTCCTAAGGGGACAGAAACAACAAAAGGACTAACTAAATGCGAGGGATTGAACCTCTGACAAGCTCATACTAAATAAGGGCAAATGTGGCAAATCATACAATGCTAACCATTGTAAAATGTTGATACAAATCAATTGTGCTAACATATCCTAGAGAGGACGGATACACCACATTTAGCGGTGGTCAAAGGACTTGCCTGTGGCTCTTGCGTGGTCGATCTTCCACAATCCTAATACGTCGTCCGTTGATCTCAGAGTCATCCAGTTTTGAAATTGCATTCCTCATGTCCGAGAGGGTGGCAAATTCAACAATTCTGAAAAAGACATAAAACATTCTTTTAAAGTTATTTAAACATATTAACTATAATTACTTATCCTTTAACATAAAAAATTAAATACTTTTTCTGGTAAATAAAGAATTATATCTATTTAAATCACAAATAAAACTGTACACAACAAAAAAATAATCATGGCGAGTTAAAATCTTGCAATCGCATATTACAGGTTAATACATTTTGTTTGAAAATAATTGCTCAGTATCATTAACTATGTAAACAAATATATTTGAAATAACATTTTTCTTACCCTTCATTCTTATGTTGCTTATGAGCATCAGCAAATGTAACCTCTCCAGCCTGCCTCATGTAATCTTTCAGGTCCTGAGGAAATACATATACAAATCTACAGTTAAAAAAATACAAACACTGAAGGTATCACAAACATCTGCAATAAAAACAAAATTTGTAAGAATGTTTAGCTACATTCTGTTCATTTCCAGACTACACTTGAAATCTAAATGTATCAAGTTTAATCCTGTAACAGAAAGACCCTGTGAATGGAATAATGTAACTTGAAGAATACGTTTCACAGCACAGTTCTCCACAGCAAACACCTATCAGTCTGCTCATCTTGTCCAAGACGTCCACATCAAGCAGTATCTGTGTATGAGGCAGGCATTTGGTGGTCAGTACACACAGGGTCACTCTAATAACAGTTGTTAAATCAAGCATCCAAGTAGTCAACTAGATGTCAATCTGCTCAATATTAATGTTTATCTCCAATGCAATAACAAAGAAATCGGCTTAAAAATCGCATTGCTCTCTTTATTTGCCTCCATTTACTTTTTAAAACGCAAGCTGGAAAAATTGCCAACATGTTTGACTACTGTACATCATTATAGAAGAGGAATGCTGGATTTCATCAACATGTTAAGGAAATGAACAGAATGCCATAATTACATGTCCTTTGATACAGAAAAGACGAGACTTTTTTATACGTTGTTCTGCTAAAACACTGCCCAACAATTTTTTTTTTAAATAAAAATATTTCATTTTAGCCTTACTTGCGCACCTGTCATGGTGAAAAATTGTCAATATCCAAACAGAAATTGTTTACCTTAACTTGCTAGCTGCTATATTTTTAAAAATAATTTATTTTCCTGAACATTAGGTAAATATGAAGTATTTATCAGTCAAAACACTAAACTGTTTAAACGCTAAACGCAATATGATCAAGCAACGGCAAAAGGGCACTCTCAATTAGTTTTTACATACTCTACCCCAACATGATTTAGGTATAACAGTATTGCTAAATGAGAAAACAAAATTTACTTCATGTATTTCCCTCCCTCCATCTAGAGCTTTCAAAAACAAATTTCGTAAAACAAGGTGTAAAAAAGTCTCGCCTAAGACTGATATTATTCAGTATACTCAAGTTCCATGCTACATTGGGAACCCATTGGTAACTTAAGGTCTGTTTATGAAACTGTTAACACTGTGATAATGGTCATAGTGCTATTCAAATGGCCAATTTAATTCAAGTATGGTTTCTCTTACTATTTTAGAAATTTTAACCTATTAAATGCAATTCCTGGATTAGTTTACTGTATGCTCAAATTCGGAGTACAAGAATCTTTTGATCAATTAATAAATATGAGGGTTTTCCTGTTGATGAATTATTCCAAGTAATGTAATGTAAGGGTAATGAAACACTAAATTCCCAATATCAACATCAGGAATCAGGAACTTTTGAAAAAAACATAGGTGTACATCATGCTCACTGGGATTTTTTGAGGTGCACAAGTGTTCTTTTATAACTCCACCCTCAACCCATCCCCCAACCCTTTCCCAAGGGTTTCCACAAATAACTCCTGAATAAAATGAGAGCACTTGCAAACTGAAAATTACATTTTGTTTAGTAATATAATGTGAATTTTCAAACCAGTCATCCTTTCAAGATATTTTTTTAAAGAAAATACAGTATAATGTATTATGATTCAAAACATTAATTTTTAGTGCAAGCCCTTCCATTTTTGTCTGAATTGATGAGAAACAAATAAATTCAAAAATTAAACTCACCAAAACTGTTCCCTTATATTATTATTTTCCCCCTCAAATTTAGAAAATGGTTATCTGTTCCACAAATTGGTTATTTCTTTCTCATAAATTTACCACTCGGAGTTTCTTGTTACTATACCTGTGTTGGAATGCTGATTAGAACACTCTTTAGAGAAATTACACCTGGTGGTCAAGAGAATGCGAACCAGTCTCACGGATCAGATGGCGAGCCAACAGAGCCACTGGCAGCTTTCAAGAAGTGGCTTACAGATTCTGATCCTCCTGGATCAGTCACCCCAAAGGAGATGGATGACAGGCTAGACACGTCTTTTGGACATGATAGCCGGTGAAATTTGGAAACTTTAGCTTTCAGATTGAACCAGTTTTTCAATCTTTCCATGATGCCGACGCTGCCAATTCTTTTCGTTATCTTTTAATTTGCCATAGGCATTAACTAAAGGCCTGAGAGAGACTTCAGGACGATTTTTCTCCTAGATTGATGGTGTAGTAGCCAATTTGAGTATTGCAGAAGGTAACACGCATCTAGGCATCCTAGAGGTAGACTGGCAAGTTGTGAGCTAAGCGGCCCTTGTCAAGTCTGTGCCCAGGGAGTGAGTGCCTCTCAACATCATCATCAACCTCTTAGAGAGCCTCTAGTTAGCCTGGCATCAACCCTGACCCTCAGACATAAATGGCATCAGCCGGTGGCAAGCTAGTATTTAAGGAAGCACAACATATTTTTTAGTCAATGAACTAATTTTATAATCTGTCTCATGCACACTTTTTAATACTGGCTTTGGCTTGCCCACCTACTCAGATATCAATGTAAATTAAAATCAATCAATGATATGTTTTAAAGGTAATGTATACAACTTACCACTCAGCACCTAAGTTAAACAGGAAAAAGAAAACACCTAAAATCATCAGTAAATTAAATGTTACCAACTTGAAAGTTACATGGTTCTTATAACTAAACATATTTTAAATTAGGTTATAAAAAATAAACTAGAATAATGAGTTATTACCTGCCAACTGACACGACTGGAAAGGTTTTCTACTATGACTCGGAATTCAGTTCTAACTGGCGGACCATATCTGCAAAAAAATGTACATATCTCATGTTGTCAATGAAATAAGTGGCAAGAGATTCTAGGAATGGTTTCTTTTTTTTTTATCTCTTAAGAGGAATGCATGTGACTACAGTACAGTATTGGTGGGCACCGGACCTATTAAAGGCCTTGGTGCAATACAAGCTTATAGGATGGGGATTACAGTCAGTTCTAAATTTTTTTTAAATGTATAGTACCCATAGTACTAGTTCATATTAATCCAAACCCCTACTTTTCACTGAGGTTGTCTTTTATTTTAATATTTGTATTAAAATACAGTTCGCCCTCCAATTCGAGACCACCTTTGGGACCTGAAAATTTGAGGTGGTCTCGAATTGGAGGGTGCACTGTACCTAAAAACCAGGATGTTTCCAATCAAACTGGGATGACTGGTAGGTATGTAACTTTAAACTGTCTATACATAATGTAGTTTAGCCATTGAACATTTGTGAACTCTTAAAATTGCAAACACATGGCTCTTGTGGCTTTATATCTATAGGTAATGCAAACTGAGTGCAGCTTGCCAAATTGTAAATTTAACGTTTCACCTACACTACAAAAATAAGAGTTGACCGTTAGGATACTTTACATAAAATCTGCCTGCTTACTAATTAGAAAATTTTTAACCAACCACCTAGAAATTTTGAACTTACTTGTCCATTCCTCCCCGACTTCGTCTTGGTGGGCCGTAGCTGTATCCACCACCTCCTCCACCACCACCACCACCACGATGATGGTCATCACGTCTACCTGGACCTCTTGCATGTTCAATAATGACCCTGTCATTGAGAAAGATACAATTCGCATAAAATACATATATTTCAGCATGATTATCAAACATTTCTTTAGGCATAATGATAATACTTGAGATAATTAGATATCTCTTAGAAATTGCTCAAGCTTCCTAAATGCATGTTGTCTAGTCATCTTACTTGTCGTTACAAAGTTCCCTGCCATTCAATTCATAGACCGCATCATCTGCATCACGGTAATCATCAAATTCCTAGAAATAAAACAAATGTTAAAGCTTGTCAAATAGTATGCGACAAATTTGTGTGTTGCATAAATAAGGGCATGAAGATGTCATATTACACCCAAATATAGGCATAACACAATTATTTGCCACAGAACTTAGACATATTTATTCATTCACAAATGTGATGCATAACTTACAACAATCATTTAACACAAATTAATAGGTTAGGAGTTTGAAACATTCATTGTTGCCAACATTAAATTATAAAATTGTTTTGTTTGTTCATGACTTGTTTGTATTTTTGGGAAAGATTCCATCTTTGAATTGGAAAAATGATGTACTATACAAAATATTTGCTTCACAAATCCCTACAACATTCATATTACTGTATTTTGTGTACTTATTTAGTGAATACAGTAAACAATCAAAAAAATTTTGTAAGTGCACGTCTTAATTACAAACTTACCACAAAGCCAAAACCATTTTTTAAGTTGATTTCTCTAATTCTGCCATATCCTTTGAAAAACCTCTCTACATCTTTCTCACGTGCTTGGTAATTGAGTCTCCCGATGTAAATTCTGCTTCCCATTCTGACAGCTACAATCTACAAAAGATCAGAGGATCAAATGAAATTGTGTTGGGATTTATCAAACTTTCTTTTAAGTCAACAAAATTAGAATTTTGAATGAGCTTGGAGCAACATATTTTTTTTTATTACACAAGCTTGGGCCTAAAATGTATGCTAAATATAAATGAAATGTTAAAGTGTTGCGTATTGGCAGACCGTGCTATTGCTCTATCACTACTCATACAAACAGGTACCAAAACCGCCTCTATTCAGAGAAAAAGTGGAAATTTCAGAAAAAAATAAGTTTTTCTTTATTTTTATTTCGCCCTCTGCTGCCTTGAAATCACCAAAGATAAAAAAATAAGTACGCAAAACAAGGAATAAAAAGTCTCGCCATAGATTTGTATTTTATGTAATTGTGTCTCAGAGCAAAATCAATTTTAATGTATTTTTATGATGCAAATGACAACAAATGGAGATGAATACATTAAGCCCTGGCTAGAGATATGGTACCGTATCTTCAGTTTGCCAAGGTTACGGTAACAGGCCTCAAATTTTACCGCGGCCATTGCCGACGGTGCCCTCCCAGTTTGCCTTGGTGCCCCTGTAAAATGAAGCACGACGACGGCCACTAATTGCCTGCCCCTTTGAAGCCTTGGCCTCGATGCCCTCACGATGCTTACTATAGATCGTTTGACACGTAAAATAAATCTAAGAACGAACGTTTAAATCTTTAAAGGAAACACGAAAGTCAAAAACGTAGGTCGCCTAAAGCTAGCCTAGGCCAGGTTGCAGTGACAGAACAGAACATGAGAGAATTTCCATGTGTGTTAATACGAACTGTTTTTGCGGTTACCACTGTGTGCGCATGCGTCTTACTCTAGTGGTTATTGCAATATAAACATGGGCTCATTGGTTGGAACAAATTTTTGTTGAGTATTATTTTCATTCAACTGGTTCGTTAAATACACTTCGTTGACAACGAAAATTAATGTAAACCAGAGTGCGTTAATCAGCGTTAAGTTATCCACGTAACTTAGATTAAATTTCATAAAATAAACATTATAATATTTACCCACATGGAGTCAAAAAATTATTGTAGGCAAATAGAATAAAAAAAATTGGATGAAAACATTTTTTTTAATGAAAAACCCATACTACCACAAGTTGAAGCAGTCTTGATTACGCAACGTGTATCGCGGTAACTATACAGCCATTTTGCTTTGTCGAGTATTTACAAGTTTTCTATTCGACTGGTCGCAGTCTTTGTTGAGTAGGATGTTATTACCGCTGCGCAGGTGGACGTGGTTTAACGAAGAACAACCAGTCGAATACGGCCTTTGTATTTGTAAACATGTCATCGCAGCTTTCGCGGCCAGCTTAGAATTGTGGCTTCCTCTCCGATGACAACGGACTGAGGAACAACGCAATGATATCGCACTTCTATAAATTTGACTGTTTTGTACGATCGCAGTATATTCCAACACTGAATCTATGACTATGAAACTATGGCTTGGCTAGGCCTAGCATGGCTACGACGAATCAAGGCACTCGCGAGAAATTAGTACCGAGGCTAAATCAAATTTTTGCCTTAGGTGCCCTTTTATACTTGAAATTTTGGCCTTGGTGCCTTTCCATTTGGCCTTGGTGCCTTTCAAAATCATGTCATACCGGAGGCCATTTGGTCTTGCCCCTAAAATCCCCAAATTCGAGGCCTGCGGTAAATGACATTATCGAATAAAATGCCGCCACCAGCATGATGACATCGTTCAAAAATTGCTCGCTGTTAGCCTGCTTTCTTGCTTGAGTTGTTACAACACTAGCCACGTAAAGCATAGTGGCCATTCCTAGCACATGCTTTTTGGCGTAATTTGGACTCATAAATTCATGAAAACGTAGCATAACGCTAACGCATAATAAATCTAGAATTGATAAAAATTTTATTAGGGCCTAAATTTATAAAAATAAAGTGCAAAAAAAAATAATAAGAGTGTGCCATTTCTACAGGCACATAGGACGCAGTCTATTATTGTTATTGGCCTCTGCATTCAGCAAGCAATTTCACAAGTCTTTATGAAAAATAATGTCACATCGTTCCTTTAGCAAACGAAAGGTAAAATACAGGGCTAGGCCTAACTCGCACCCAACTCGTGACAGGCCTAACTCGCCACCCAAATTTTAGGTCAAACCGAAAATCGTAGTGGTAGGTGAACTAGGCCTAGCTAGGAAGGCCTATTCAGTTCAGTAGGCCTAGCCCTTAACGTAGCTTCGGCCTCTAGCCTAGGCCTACAAAGCACAGGCCTAAATTGATTAATAGTATTATTTGTGACGACTTCTTGTAAAATATTTTCATTGTCAATATAGCAGGTACAGTTTTGAAAATGTATTACCAAATATTGTCGTCGCTTGCAGTACTACTGTACATGAGCGTCGCATCATGCATTGTTTATTGCTGCATGCTCTAGCGACTATCGCGGATTAATATGATAATAGTACTAGGAAAGAAGAAAGGCTTGCATGGAGACGTTAATTGATATCTTTGTCATATCTAACATAGTTAGCATGTTCATTGTCTAGACACTGAGTTGTTAATCACAACTCCCTACTGTAGTCACGTAACGAAAGTATTTTGTTACGTTGTTTTTCAACTATCAATTGCAAAAATAGTGGTGGTCGGCAGTATGGGAGTGGTGGTCAGAAATTTCGAGTGGTGGTCGGGGCCGTCCAGCGCCGACCACCGTGGTGAGAACTCTGCAGTACATAGGGTAAGGCGCTAATATTCGACCTATATTAGTTTTCGACACACCCCACCCCCATTTCCGACCCCCGGATTTAATAACGACTTTTTAATTACGAATTTCTATGTCACTGGTAAAATTATATTTTTTTACGATGTAAACAGTGTGAAGCACTGACCCTCGAACAAAAACTGTCTGCAAAAAAACAACTTTTTTTTCAAATTTTTATGAAATATGATATTCCCAAGGGATAATAAGAATATGGTGTCATATTACATCTAAAATTAATTACCATAGAGTGGAAAAATCTATCCCAAGTTTACATTTATTCAAAAGAAAATTTAATTCTAAAAACGTTATCGAAACATGGCTGTCACATAGCATACAGTAGCAAATAAGAAAAGAGTGTGGTTAGGTCACAGGGCAAAGGTTGGGGTTATTATTTCGACATCCTATTCTTAATTACTATGAAATTATAGAGGGCGTCCTAAAAACAAGATGGTGAAGTAGCCATTTTTCGCTACTTTTTGTAAGACATGCAACCACAAACTGGTCTAATTTTGTACACTTTCATTATAGTAAAAGGATAGTTTACTGAGAAACAGTTTCAAATTAACTATTACAGTATTAACATTTTTATTATCTTTTGGCGAATAAATTTGTATTTCCAAGATATGGAAATTGCAAAAATATTACTGACTGTCGAAAACTAATGGTCATAAACTGGGCGAAGGCCTCCGAAGGGTGTCGAAAACTAGCGTAAAATCGGCGAAAGGATGATTACATTTTACAAGCTGAATGCAATTTAATTTTATAAATTTGTAGTTGAAAGGTATGACTTGAAGTTAAATATATTTATGCATCTGTTAAAATTAGATTCCTGTAAGTTATTGTCCAAAAATTATGCTGCTTTAACCGTGTAGGCCTAGGCTAGGTCGAAAATTAGCGACTTGCCCTAGCCTAGCTAGGGCTAACACCAACAATCCATCACGAATGGCGATGATGAGCTTTGTGCGTGGTAAGCTCTGTTTGGGTAGAATGTGAGATGCAAAAGCGGGTGATGTCCAAAACCCTGTTGATGATAGGCTTAGATATAAAATACAATACAAAATTATCACGCCTCTACAGCAATAGTTCAAGCACCGTTCTACTACGGCACACAGACCAACCTAGGCTTACCAAAATGATGGGCCAGGGAAATACTTAGCTACACGTTTTAGTTCGGTTAGCAGCAGAAGCAAGTCAGGGGCTAGCCCTAGGAAAGCCTACGCTCCACCATCGCTGGTCGTCTAGCCTAAATAACTTCGTTGTGTAAACTAAATTTCTATCAATATTTCCAGATACATCGATAATTTCTACATCATGAAACAAAGATTACTTACTCAGAATTCACAATTATGTTAAAAACTAAACAAACGTTAATTATAGATACTATTTTTTGCAAATTAACAAACACCTTCAAGTCTAAAATAGTATCTGGAACGACGACATTACAAGCCAACACCGCACTCAAGGAAGGATCATAAAATGCTAACGTCCGGGTATTTGCGAGACAGCGCATGCTCCGTTAATGGACAGGTTTCATAAGTCGATTATCAGGGGTGGATTTATGGACCACAGCTGAAAACATACCTGTGGACATACGGTGCCTCGTATGAAGTCTGTGTGTATATATATATACATACATATGTAATTCATATTACATATATTATTACCATATACATTTTTGTTACACTGTATTATAATTACTGTATTCAACATTGATGCTATACCATTTTTTCCTCTGAATTTTATTGAGTTCATACATTTTTATATTTTTATACCGGTAATTATTTGTTTCGATGTTATTTTTTTTTACTACAGTATATTGATTTTAGCATAGCCTTATTCAGAGTTCTAAAGTTCTACAGAACTTCCGTAGTTACTACAGAAATAAACAAAGACACTACGGAAATATATTATTAGACCTAGACCCAGAAATATATGGGTCTACACCTTGCCTAAAGTTAGATTCTAAATATAGATATATTTTACGTTGGAATTATTTCTCTTTGAGCCATAATGACTTTTGTCGCTTTTAGTTTTCCTGACATCTTGTCTTAATTATTTAAGGGTTTTTGTAATGTTTTTAGTCGACTAAATAAATTAAATTAAATTAAAATTTGAAAGTCACAGGACAATCATTTCTCATCAGGAGCTTTAGCTACATTGTCTCTACTGTTAGTGTTACTTTTACTGGGCATTTATAATGCGCCTTTCCTTTCGGTTTCAAAGCGCAAGCTATGTGTCCCCAAAATTTCAAATCATCTAGAGCAACTGATCCACATCAGTTCCAGAAAAAAACTATCTCATACCACACAGAATACAGTCTATGGATAAACAACAACATAAAAAGACAACAAGACACAGACAGAAACAGACTTGAAGTGGATTAGGCAAAAAGATGTGTTTTAAGTGATCTTTTGAAACTATTAATATTAGAAATGTTCTTAAGATCACGAGGAAGATTATTACAGAGTTGGGCAGCATAAACTGAATATGACAAAACTACCGATCCTCTTATTACAATGAGGTGCAATATAGTGAAGTGAAGAGGAGTATCGAATAGTCCGAGTTGGAACACGACGAGTAAGGAGTGTGGATAAATAGGAAGGGGGGAAATAACCATTTATGCCTTTACAGACAGTAAGGATGATTTTAAAAACAACTCTACTGTCAACAGGCAACCAGTAAAGCTCCCTAATGAGCGGGGCAGAGTGTGTACCAGGATTGCATTAGAATATACCACTCAGACTTGTCAGATTGCTGACAAATTATTGTAAAACCCAAAAAAGCGGCCCATATATCATCATTCTGTCCAGTATCCTGTCCAGTTTGTTTGAATTTTTCCAACAATTTTGAGCAATCCATATTCTTGTACTCAAGGCAAGGTGCTATGGAATGTTTTTAATTACTATGGACCGGTAATAGTTATGCAAATGCATTTTCCTAACTTGAGAAGCCTGCCTTATTCTGCTGTATTCCACACAACTTTTTTTACATTGACTGTTGCAATTTCTTTTTATTCTTTAAACCTAACGCAGCTAGGCATTTTATTGACAGTGTATCTGAGCACGGACACTGCCCACACTGTATATTAAAAATTGTATATGGAAATGTAGAAGAATAATAAGATATATAAAATTCATCGTTAACAAAGATGATTACAATATGGTATTTTTATGGTATATCACTTAGGCCATGGTATATCGCTTCCTTCTATAATTAACAATCAATTCCTTTTATTTCAGATAGTGTCCATCAAATTATGCATGTGATGCATGGGTGTTGTGAGGGGGAACACCAACAATATTGTAATCTTCGACAGAAGTGCCACATCCTCTATTTTGTCTAACTTTATTACAAGACATTATTATCTAATGGAAACGGTTATGAGGTTAAAATGTGAAATTGAACATATTTTAAATGATTTCCATCTGTAGGGTACAAAAGAAAATAATGACTATCTCGGTGGCACCGTCGAAGAAGAAGACGATACAATCGTCGGAGCAGCTATGCATGCTGTGTAGCGATTGTATGGAAACCAAGCCAAGGTTTTCGTACAATCGCTCCACTCAGCCGCCACAGCAATCGGGAAAGACACTCCGATACGTCTGCAATAGCAAAGTTTTTTTTTTTTTTTTTTTTTGGTTATACTCCAAAGAGATGAAAATTGCGACTTTGGTTTGAATTTAGAAAACAAGGACTCTCAGTTTTAAATGGGTTAGATTTAAGCATTTTGTTTGTCATCCATTTCTGAACGGCAATAAGATACAATTTTGAAGATTTTCAATTGTTGAAATAGAATTTGATTGGTTACCAAGCTAAAAGAAATCACACACATTACCGCACCGTTTACAGATAAATCTGAGAGTGACATTTCCAATCATCTAGAAGGTACCGTACCATAATCATAATATTTCTTGACTCAGTCCCAACCTTGGTGGGGCTCAGGTGAGTGGATCCTCTATCTGTGAAAAATCCTCCCTGGGTCCCCTAAATTTCTAAATCCGCTACTGGTTATAGGCTTAAAACATTGTCAAATAATGGGTACTTGCACACTCTAATATGTTCCCTCTGTTGTTATTGAGTAAAAAACCGTCCGGTAAGAATAATGCTTACAGGCCATTTCCGGGCATAATACGGTACCTTTTTTATTTTTTTTCCACCACGATAGGGCTGAGGTCTGGATCCCCCGTCGACAAACGTCGAACAACATCTGGTGCCGCCACTGGTAAATAACGCTCGCTCAGTCGATGAAGTTGGGGGAGGGCAGAGTTGGGGGTCTTGTTGACCGGGCCACTAATATTGCTTCCTACGGGCGAGTCCCTGAATATATTCCCACCCATCGTTTCCTTTTGAAAAACAAAATAATGAAAACAAATCTAAACCTCCACCACCGGGATTCGAAGCCGGAAACTGTCGCATACAAAGCCAACGCAACGTTACAACTAGACCACGAATACGTTTTTAGTTAATGTGCGATCCGGTATTAAGAGCCTTCAATGGGACCATGACAAACCATTCCAAACAGTTTCGCTAAGATCCATTGAACATTTTTTAAGATATTTATATCTAAGACATTTTATTTTTTAAGATTTCCGCATGCACACTACTACGGAACGTCACCAAAATTTATACATTTTTTTCCTTGGCCATGAAGAATCATCATCCCCGCAAATCATTTCAGAAAGCTTTCAGATGCATTACCGTATCATTTTTTTTTTAAATATCTAGGTCCATGGGACGTTTGCTTTAAATGGCTCTCCTCGTACACATCATCGCGGTACTCTGGATCGTTACTAAAATATAATTATTTCTTCCTTGGAAAATGACAAATCATTCTGTCTGCGTCTTTGATCCGGATTATCATCAAAATAAAAAGGAGCCTTCATAGAAATAACATATTTCCTTGCGGAGGTAGGTAATAATTAAATAAAATAAAAAGGAAACTAGAAAGATAATTTTTTCGTAAAGAATTTACACGATATTTGTTACTTTACACGCCAGTGACGTCACAGTAAAAATCGTTATAATGACCTATAACTTCATAAAAAAAATTGCCCAAAAACGATTTTAAAGTTGATTCTATTATTAATCATATCAAAAATCCCCTCTAGAAAAAAAAATATCATCTTTCTAGTTCCCTTTTGAGGCTTCCATACCAGGGGCGGATCCAGACATTTTCTGACGGGGTGGGGAAAATAGGCCTAAGTAATCAACATCTACCTGAGCCCCACCAGTGGTTAGGCCCCTCTAAACACTCGGAAATGGCACACTCGGATGGTAAAAATTCTTTTTCAAAGCAGTGCTCAACAAATTATTGACTTCTTCCCGTTGGAATAAGTCGGCGTCGGGGACATAGCGTTGTGTTCGTCGTCAATCAGTAGAAAATTCAAAATTAGACCATGTAAAAAAAATGTTGTTGATCGTCCCTCCCTACTTTAAAAAGAGCACCCGACCATTTTTTTTTTTCGAAACTCACGAAACTGTCGTCTTTCTGCAGCCCATAATTCAATTTCGGCTAGGCCTAGGCTTTTTGGGGGGTCTTTCCATTGCTTATTCGTATAATCTATCTGATCAAATGCTACACTGGAAGATTCGGCACAGTCAGCCACCATTTACATAAGGCCTTGCACTCAATGGGGGATTAGATGTGTATAAGAGACAGGTCTTGTTGACCGGACCACTAATATTGCTTCCTACGGGCGAGTCCCTGAATATATTCCCACCCATCGTTTCCTTTTGAAAAACAAAATAATGAAAACAAATCTCAACCTCCACCGGGATTCGAAGCCGGAAACTGTCGCATACAAAGCCAACGCAACGTTACAACTACACCACGAATACGTTTTTTAGTTAATGTGCGATCCAGTATTAAGAGCCTTCAATGGGACCATGATAAACCATTCCAAAAAGTTTCGCTAAGATCCACTAAACATTTTTAAAGATATTTATATCTAAGACATTCTATTTTTTAAGATTTCCGCATGCACACTACTACGGAACGTCACCAAAATTTATACATTTTTTTCCTTGGCCATGAAGAATCATCATCCCCGCAAATCATTTCAGAAAGCTTTCAGATGCATTACCGTATCATTTTTTTTTTAAATATCTAGGTCCATGGGACGTTTGCTTTAAATGGCTCTCCTCGTACACATCATCGCGGTACTCTGGATCTGTCTAAACATTTTTAAAGATATTTATATCTAAGACATTCTATTTTTTAAGATTTCCGCATGCACACTACTACGGAACGTCACCAAAATTTATACATTTTTTTCCTTGGCCATGAAGAATCATCATCCCCGCAAATCATTTCAGAAAGCTTTCAGATGCATTACCGTATCATTTTTTTAAATATCTAGGTCCATGGAAAGTTTGCTTTAAATGGCCCTCCTCGTACACATCATCGCGATACTCTGGATCGTTACTAAAATGTCATTATTTCTTCCTTGGAACATGATAAATCATTATAGAAAATTTAATTCAGATCCATTGATCAGTTTTAAAAATATTTATGTCTGCGTCTTTGATCCGGATCATCATCAAAATAAAAGGAGTCTTCATAGAAATAACATATTTCCTTGTGGAGGTAGGTAATAATTAAATACAATAAAAAGGGAACTAGAAAGAAAATTCTTTCGTACGCGAACGCAAAGATCGTCCGCGGTTTATACCCACCGCGGCGCTATTTACACGATATTTGTTACTTTACACGCCAGTGACGTCACAGTAAAAATCGTTATAATGGCCTATAACTTCATAAAAAAAATTGCCAAAAACGATTTTAAAGTTGATTCTATTATTAATCATATCAAAAATCCCCTCTAGAAAAAAAAAATCATCTTTCTAGTTCCCTTTTGAGGCTTCCATACCAGGGGCGGATCCAGACATTTTCTGACGGGGTGGGGGGAAATAGGCCTAGGTAATCAACATCTACCTGAGCCCCACCAGTGGTTAGGCCCCTCTAAGCAATCGGAAATGGCGCACTCGGATGATAAAAATGCTTTTTCAAAGCAGTGTTCCTCAACAAATTATTGACTTCTTCCCGACCGGATGCTCCCCTTCCCTTAGACACCCCCCTCTTTACAAGCTGTCTCTTATACACATCTAGATGTGTATAAGAGACAGGCTATATGCATGCTGTGTAGCGATTGTATGGAAACCAAGCCAAGGTTTTCATACAATCGCTCCACTCAGCCGCCACAGCAATCGGGAAAGACACCCCGATACGTCTGCAATAGCAAAGTTTTTTTTTGTTATACTCCAAAGAGATGAAAATTGCGACTTTGGTTTGAATTTAGAAACCAAGGACTCTCAGTTTTAGATGGGTTAGATTTAAGCATTTTGTTTGTCATCCATTTCTGAACGGCAATAAGATACACTTTTGAAGATTTTCAATTGTTGAAATAGAGTTTGATTGGTTACCAAGCTAACAGAAATCACACACATCACCGCACCGTTTACAGATAAATCTGAGAGTGCCATTTCCAACCATCTAGAAGGTACCGTACCATAATCATAATATTTCTTGACTCAGTCCCAACCATGGTGGGGTTCAGGTGAGTGGATCCTCTATCTGTGAAAAATCCTCCCTGGGTCCCCTAAATTTCTAAATCCGCTACTGGTTATAGGCTTATAACATTGTCAAATAATGGGTACTTGCACACTCTAACATGTTCCCTCTGTTGTTATTGAGTAAAAAACCGTCCGGTAAGAATAATGCTTATAGGCCATTTCCGGGCATAATACGGTACCTTTTTAATTTTTTTTTTCACCACGGTAGGGCTGAGGTCGACAAACGTCGACCAACATCTGGTGCCGCCACTAGTAAATAACGCTCGCTCAGTCGATGAAGTTGGGGTAGGGCAGGGTTGTCCATGGGGTCTTGTTGACCGGACCACTAATATTGCTTCCTACGGGCGAGTCCCTGAATATATTCCCACCCATCGTTTCCTTTTGAAAAACAAAATAATGAAAACAAATCTCAACCTCCACCGGGATTCGAAGCCGGAAACTGTCGCATACAAAGCCAACGCAACGTTACAACTACACCACGAATACGTTTTTTAGTTAATGTGCGATCCAGTATTAAGAGCCTTCAATGGGACCATGATAAACCATTCCAAAAAGTTTCGCTAAGATCCACTAAACATTTTTAAAGATATTTATATCTAAGACATTCTATTTTTTAAGATTTCCGCATGCACACTACTACGGAACGTCACCAAAATTTATACATTTTTTTCCTTGGCCATGAAGAATCATCATCCCCGCAAATCATTTCAGAAAGCTTTCAGATGCATTACCGTATCATTTTTTTAAATATCTAGGTCCATGGAAAGTTTGCTTTAAATGGCCCTCCTCGTACACATCATCGCGATACTCTGGATCGTTACTAAAATGTCATTATTTCTTCCTTGGAACATGATAAATCATTATAGAAAATTTAATTCAGATCCATTGATCAGTTTTAAAAATATTTATGTCTGCGTCTTTGATCCGGATCATCATCAAAATAAAAGGAGTCTTCATAGAAATAACATATTTCCTTGTGGAGGTAGGTAATAATTAAATACAATAAAAAGGGAACTAGAAAGAAAATTCTTTCGTACGCGAACGCAAAGATCGTCCGCGGTTTATACCCACCGCGGCGCTATTTACACGATATTTGTTACTTTACACGCCAGTGACGTCACAGTAAAAATCGTTATAATGGCCTATAACTTCATAAAAAAAATTGCCAAAAACGATTTTAAAGTTGATTCTATTATTAATCATATCAAAAATCCCCTCTAGAAAAAAAAAATCATCTTTCTAGTTCCCTTTTGAGGCTTCCATACCAGGGGCGGATCCAGACATTTTCTGACGGGGTGGGGGGAAATAGGCCTAGGTAATCAACATCTACCTGAGCCCCACCAGTGGTTAGGCCCCTCTAAGCAATCGGAAATGGCGCACTCGGATGATAAAAATGCTTTTTCAAAGCAGTGTTCCTCAACAAATTATTGACTTCTTCCCGACCGGATGCTCCCCTTCCCTTAGACACCCCCCTCTTTACAAGAGTCGCAAAGTTGTTATCAAGGGAGGGATTATGCTGGGAGTCGCAAAGCAAATCATGATTATGGCACCCGGAAATGGCACTCATTCAGACTTAATTTTAATATTTTATCTCTATTTTTTTTTTAAACTTTGACAAAATATAGGGAGGGGTTCCTGGCAGGCTCGGCACCCCACCCCACCCCCACTGGATAATATCCTACAGTCGATGTCAGAGACACATTATGATGTTATATACAACAACTTTTTTATCAGTGGTTATAGAGCGAGGACCCTATGGGTAGGGGCACCGAAGCGCCCCAGAGGTCGGTGGCCCTGCGACCCACTGCATGGATAGCTGTTCTAGCCTTGTATGCTATTACATTCCGTAATAATGGCTAAAAAACTTCGTCTTAGGTCTTTTTTCATCCTGATTTATGAAGTCGTTGGAATAATAGTCGGCGTCGGGGACATAGCGTTGTGTTCGTCGTCAATCAGAAGAAAATTCAAAATTAGACCATGTAAAAAAAATGTTGTTGATCGTCCCTCCCTACTTTAAAAAGAGCACCCGACCATTTTTTTTTTTCGAAACTCACGAAACTGTCGTCTTTCTGCAGCCCATAATTCAATTTTGGCTAGGCCTAGGCTTTTTTGGGGGTCTTTTAATTGCTTATTCGTTTAATCTACCTGATCAAATGCTACACTGGAAGATTCGCCACAGTCAGCCACCATTTACATAAGGCCTTGCACTCAATGGGGGATTCGAAGACTTGTCATGTGTCAATGGGGTATTTTAATTACTAACGGGGTGGTGGGGGCATGTATTATTATTATTTTTATTATTATTATTATTATTATTATTATTATTATTATTATTATTATTATTATTATTATTATTATTATTATTATAAATATTATTATTATTATTCCATTTTTTTTTTAAAGGCAGGGCTCCAGAAAGGCTTTATTTATTTATTTATTTTACTTTTTTTTGGTATGCTTTTTCAACTGAGTTTTCTAAATGAAGACTCATTCATTCATTCATTTATTAAAGGGTCTTTTGAGGAATCCCAACTTTCACCCTGCTCTTGCTCTGATCAATTAGATTTCCGAAAAAATCCGGAAAGACCCGACTTCGGTAAACCATAATGGCGATTGGTTGTGACCCCATTGAAATAGAGAAGAAAGCCATGCGAGCTCTTGCGTCTGCGGCAATTCAGTTTCAGGAACGAGTAGCTGGTATTGCATTTATTTTAATACAGGATTCAAGCCACGCAAATTTTAGTCGGAACAACTGTGATCCATCTTGTTGAGCTCTTTTGTGTAAGGTTCATTTTATCCACTGTTCATTCGATTTGAAATGGCGGCATATTTTGACTTTTCCCCAGGCCACTAGTCTCGAAGCCTGAGAAGCATGAAATAACATTTTTTGAGGCCTAGCCTAGACTAAATCGAGGCCTAGCCTAGTGTCTAGATCTAGGTAGGTAGCCTAGAAGATCCTCCTCAAGTACCCAACAATAATATACTAAACGTAGCCTACTATGAAGGATAGTACAGGCTAGGCTGGTGGGCCAGCTAAAATTGTTGAATTTATGGTTCTGGCATTTCCCTAGGCTTATGCCCACCTTTCAGAGAGAATTACTTACGTAACTTAGCCTTCCTAGGAGGCTAGGCTAGGGCCCCTAGACCTAAACCCTGGGCCTAGTCCACATTTTCAGTTTGTTTGGAGTGTTTCTGTGATGGGAATCAGCGGATGTCACTTTGAGCGAATGCCAGTTCGAGCGGATTTTTGAGCGGAAATTACATCGAGTGGATGCTAGTTCGAGCAGAAAAAGATCCACTTAGGCCTATGCGAACAACAAACAGCCTGTGCGAGTTATGTACGAATTACTTTTAAAATTTCCTATTTTTACCTAACAACTTACATTGGCCGAGGCTCAAGCAAGCTTTGCCTGGGAGCTAGGAGGAAGCCCTGGTAGGTTCGGGGAAGAAGCCTTAGCGTATAGCCTTATGTATAGAAGAAGTCGTATTTAATTGATTTTTAGGTTAAGGTTTTTAAAATTAAACATACATAAAAATAATGATTTATCTTATGCGTAATTGTTATTCTTTCTACTTGCTTTAAGAAAGTGGGTTTTGAACTATAGATAAATGGTGAATAGTGGCGAAAATTGATATGTCATTACTGTATTGTTGATAGTCTTGTCACACTGCTACACCAATGATTTGTGCACCTTCTGACACCACTGTAGATATGTAAATACTGTATAATTTAAATTTCAATGGTGAATAACAATTTGCAGTTACTCTTACAAATATAAATCGTAAATTTAAAGCTTACAAATACAATTACAACAATTCAATGACAAATATAATTTGCTTTTTTAAATACAAAACCCCAACTAGAGACAAAAACAAATGAGACGTGCGCAATTCAATAGTTCTAAAATATAGGCCTAAATGCTTGTTAGCGGCCATCTGGTAGTCAGATTTACCAAGACTGTAATTTAAATATGGAATAATTATCAAAAGTATCAAAAACATTTCAGAACTTTTGTACACAGAGCATTTTGCATTTAAAACAAATGAAAGTGCTATTTCACTCACAAATACAAGAATAGGGCGACGATAAATTCACCCTTGTTATAATTCGCACAAAATGCATCCGCTAGAATTGGTATAAGCTCGAACTGACATTCAAATAGATGAGATCAATCGATTAATTACAACAACTTGTAATATCCGTATAATATGTTCAATGGCACTCAAACAGCAGGGTTTTTAGTTGCTTCTGGAAAATCATGAAATGTTTCCCAGTGTTGAGGCTCTTGTGAAGTCCTGATTTTAAACATTAATGTCCTTGTCTTCATTTTATTAATTTTCCTGTACAGTACGACTTTTTTCCCCATCTTTTCATCTTTTGATGATGTACAGTTTAGTAACATCAGTTTTTTTTTTTGTCTAAGTTATTGTATGTAATTGCATGGAATATAACATGAGGGTGATGATGATGATTAGATTTTTCGGGACTTTTTAGTATGTTTTCCAAAAACCGAAAGGTCCACTGATTAATCTCATAAGAATCCTGATGATGACATAATTAATGTTGAAATATTGAATCCCAACACGATGGCATGTATTTCAATACTTGGAGTGTGTATTATACTTTTTTTTAGTATGTTATTATGTGTGTATTCCGCAAAAATTGTTTAGTTCTAGATCAATCCTCAGATTAGCTGGACTATTACAGTATTGAGATATGAGCCTGTATAGTACAAACTTTTAAAACCTTTACATAATTCCTTTGATATTTCAACTAGCAAATACTGTACTTAACACAATTCTAAACAGAAAACTCATTTCAAATTTCACTTTAATTGTATGTTTACTTTAAATCTTATTTTTAAAATTATTTTCATTCAGTGAATTTTTTAATTACTCGAAACAATTTAAACATTATTAGTGCACAGTTTTATTTTGTTTTTCTTTGTTTCAGTGATCAAGAAATGGACTAAAAATGAGTGATGGGAAAGTAATACCGGATCTGCCGGACTTACCGGAAGGCCCCACCAGTGGAGTTCCTCTGGCTAAACCCATCCAAATCCAAAAACTTGAACAAGCTGTTAGGCTAGAACCTCTCCTTCGCAGCGTAGAGCAAGTCATCAGAGAGCCTATCAGGTACACACTTTAAATTCTTCACATTAATAACACCAAATCAGCCAATTTCCACAACAGTTTTCTTGCTTTAGTCTCAATAAGCCCAATATGAATAGTTTGTACATTTTCTTTTATTTTTAAAGTTTTATTTATGTTGGCATCATTACTATTGCATTACATTAAGTTTTAAGGTAAAAACTGCAATTTTTCATAGGTATTCTGATAGTGATGATTATGAATATGAAAGTGGGCAAGAAAATCTGACAAATGGAGAAGCTAAACAAGAAGATGAGATAGATGGCAGTCTTCAGTTGAGAAAGTCTCATCCAGAACGTGAAAAAAACAGCAATGGATTCACCAAAAGCAAACAAGGTATTTATTTCATAAAAATTGTAACTAAAGGAAAAAGTGCATTACAACTGCTTATGAATACCGTAGTTCATCTAACCACCTATAAACAAAAAATTTTTGTGGGATGATCTTATACCCAGGGGATCCCTTTTCAATCAAAAGGTAATTTTTTAGCACTGCATGCCAGATTCAAAGTCGATATTAAATTTTTTTTTATTAGAGTATTTGTAAAAAAAAAGTCAGCTAAGCTACTCATTCAAATTATATGCTGGGCTTTTGCCCGAGGAATTGCTAATACTTAAATTTGAGCATAAAATAGGGGGTAGCTGATACCATAGGTACCAAGGTATGAACACAACACATTTTATTTGTGAGGCATTACCATACAAAACTGCATTACATGTGGCTCTGAGCTTATTGCTTTTGTGTGTGCAAAGACAAAGATGGTGCAAATATCAATGTGGAAAATTCACTTCATTTTCTGTTATCCAAATGTATAAAATGGGGAGCTTTTGGTGTACAGGTCTCCATCCAATTAAAGATCACTTTTTGGGACCATGGTTTTCATTGTCTTTAACCCTTACGCTGCCAGCTCTTTTCTTATTCAATTAACCAGAGCGCCAGCTGATAACATTACCTCTAATCCCCAGTGCCAGCTAATTATTTAACAAGGTCACCGTAATGCTTATTTTTGATAGTGTATATTATTTGCTCAATAATTAATAAATATTGAGATTATGAAAATATAAATCTAAAAACAATTAATCAGTATTAGTTGTTTTGTACATATATGCTTTTATTTCTGCATTTTATTTATCATTTAGTGAATAAATGATAGGAATATTTTGTCAATAGGCCTATCACAAATAGTATACTGGGCCTAGGCCTATTAGCAGAGTATTTGTTTTCAAAGTCAAATTACTTGCTGATGAAAATCAAAATAACAAATCCTAGGCCTATGTATATTTACAAACATTGCTATCATAGTACAGGCCTAGCTAGGCCTAAGCCTAGGCTAGGTCTGCCTAGCTAGGTCTAGGACCAGAACATCGTTTTCTATGTCAGTTTCTAAGTCTCCTTATTATCAAGCACAGCTGTAACAACTACAGAAGAATAAAGTATCTCAGCATTTCAAAACATCATATTTTCAACTTGCAAAAACTCAAACTTCTAACAAAACAACACCCAGCAAGTTTCACATCAAAGTGTACAAAAATTCATTAGCTTTCATATGCAGTGTTAAAACAGCCGCTCTATGGTCGTTTTTTGGAAGACCTTCAACAATTTGCATTTATGCGAAGGTGGCGTGCGGCTGACTGAGCTAATCTCATTTATGAGAAACTGGCATGCACACCAACTGTGCGATGTTCGCATTTATGCGAAGATGGCAGCGTAAGGGTTAACAGCTTTGGTCTTTAATTATTCTTATAAAAATAAGAGGTTCATTTAGGGCCACAGAAAAGTGTGTTTTCTTTTTTTATTGTAGGTGGTCTTTAATTAGAGGGAGACCTGCGTATTGGATGACATAGTATTGACACTATTCTATTATATATGCGTTTTTTTTTTCAATCATAGAGAGGAAGGCTGACAGAAGACGGCTGTATAATTTTACTAAGGTGAAGAAAAGCAGAAAGTGGTTAAAGGTAACAACTTTTGTTTTTATTCATTATTTGTTATGGGAAACATAATTGGGAAAAAAATAGTTATAAACAATGAATGGTCAATGGAAATTGACAGTGAGAGAAATGAGTTAACGTTTGAAGGGAGATATGGATAGATGATCTTTCATGCCTATTACTCATAATTGACGACAATAATTAATGTAGCAAATAATTGCATTGACTACATCTGTGCTTTAACCAAAAGGATTTTAAAAAACAAGCCAGTCTGCACACCAAGTATATCTGTAATAGGCACTCATTCCAGACATATACTTCAGCAAATAATATATATATTTTTATATAGCGCATAATGCATAAAGCCTCTATGCACTAAAATATTAAAAAATGGAACAAAAAGAACCTCGATTTTGCATACGGTATGTAAATCAGGGATTAATAAAATTGAGGTTGGGTTAAATTTGTGGTGACCTTTGACCTAATATGTACGCAACATTCAATAAACATTATGAACAAACAATGTTACCTAGGCCTAGGCATACAACAGTATTAGGCCTAGAATAAAACCATGTGTTTTGATTCATGACTTTACGATGTCATTTAAATAAAGTGTTCAAATGAAACCATGTGTCTGGTACATTAATTAATCACTTTATATATCTTTTATTCAACTAAAGATCATGAAATATTGTAAGGTTACCTATACGACAAAGGTATATCTTGGGAATTGCCCTGCATGGATATTCTAAACAGAGCTGCAGTGTTGCCTGGGCCTGCTGAGACAAACTAAAACTATGTGCTCTGCACTGGGCAAGTGCTCGTATACAAAATTTATGCCTACCTAGCTTAGCAAACTCAGATCAGACAATCAGAAGAGTTTTTCACATAAAGCTAATTAGGAAAGAGATTATGTTGTTCATCACGCTCAGTCCACATGGTTTTAGATTATAACAGCACGTTAGACAAAATCAACGTTGCTGTTGAATGCAAATTCTTTGTATATGGTTTGTTTATTGGTATCAGCGTCCCTAGCATCATGGGCAAGTGTCATGGTAAGTGACCATAGTTGGGACTGACACAAGGTATTTTTAATAATTAGGAGGCATTTAAATGTCCTAAATTGCACTGGCCAACTCTCAAGCATCATGGGAAAGTCCCAAGCATCATGGTACTATGATGCTTCAAGGGTTTGGGGAGAATGCTGGGTATAGTATTGAAATCATTTTGTTTTGGGTATTTTGGGGGTTTTTTAAATAGAACTGTTGGGTTCGTATAACTGAGGTATGTAAAAATAATACATGTGTATCAACCCTTTGCTTTATAGAACATATTGCTAACAGACAGCTCTGAAAGCGAAGATGATGATGAAAAGATGATGAGCAAAGAGGAGATTCAGCATATGCTTAAAGTTCATAAGTACAAGCGGTCATGTCAGAAGATGTTCTATTCACAAGGCGAGGTAAATATTATAGTATATTTTTGCGCATATAATGTGTACATGACATGGGCCATATTATGCTTCGAATGTGTTTGTTGAACCAGTGATTCGTCATCAGTTCAATGAGGATTTGCGTACCATTTAATTTTCAATGGGGCTTAGGCCAAGCTCACCATTAACATAGGCTAGGCCAAGTACAGCAGGGAGTGCAAAGTCTCCTGCATGTCGTGGGAATCTCTCGGAAATTAGTAAAGCCTCCCACACTCCTGCTAGCAGGAAAGAATCTCATGGAAAATAACTCATCTCTTGCAAGTTCACACATTTTTTGTGTTTTACTACACTGTATTATCAAATCTCTCCCGGAAGTCAGTGTCAATGGGTGCCACTTCGCACAGCAAAATATAATGAGAAGTGGCTTCTTCCGACTTTGGACCCCTGGTAGAGTCAACAACCGGAGTTGAAGTTAGTGCTGTTTACGCTGGTGAATTTGATGTAATGTTTTGAAACCTCCACTGTACTTTTACTTCTTGGTGTTGAAGCATTCAGGGTTTTGTCCAGTTTTTTCTGCAGTGTAAAATGGGTACTAATAGGCAGTATTATAGACTATTAGTGATAGCTAGCCTGATGAAGCTGTCACAAACTGTCATTAATAGGTAGTTAACAATTTCAGTTAGTTAAGCTAATAATAATAATAATAATAATAATGTAGTTTTACTGTATGTAGCGCACATATTATCTAACATAAGATGCTCAGGGCGCTTGATATGTGGATTAGGAACTTGATCAAAGACTTTCTTCGCCCCTAGTGGTCCCTCCGTGTCTGTGCTATCCGGTACCAGCAACTCTCGTCGTCCACCAGAGGGGCTGTCTCCCTACTCATCTCGAAGGATGTACTGGGTTATTTATAGTGCACACGAGCCATTGTATACACTGGGCCTACGGTTTATAGTCCTTATCCGAGAAGACATTTTCTACCACCAGAACCATAGGCGAGCGTGCCGTTCGAGCCAGCTCCGATATTTGGCTGTAGCTTGCGGCGCCCCTACTAACCACTCGGCCATTTGATTCGCCTAAATGGCCGAGTCGTACTTTTGACAATCTGAGTAAAATACATGTTTTCTTGGCAGATGCAACAGTATGAATATTATGGTGCTGGATTATTGTCAACTTACGACAGGTACTTGGACAATCAACGACTTATTCTTGGGCCAAAGAAAAAGAAGAAGGAGAAAGGTAAAGCATAATTATGGAAAATTGTGTATATCAATGAAGAGATAAAACTTTTTCTTTGTTTACAATTTATACTCCTGCAAGTATGGCCTTAATAACCCAACTCCAACACATGTAATCCTTGAATAAGAACATACTTTTTCCAGTTTAGTATTTCTTTATTCAAAATCAAATGATGCTTAATTCTTCTGTGTGCTCCCAGTAAACTATAAGTTTTCTTTAATAATATAATAATGTAACACATTTCTATAGCGCCTGTTAAAACAAACAAACTTGCTTGTAAACGGCGCTGGAAGATGCTAGAAAGAAGTTGAGGTATTTCAAGAGGAGGAATTTAAGATTGTATTTGAATAATTCAGGATCAGAGATGATACGTAATTGTGGGGTCAGAGAGTTCCAGAGTTTAGGAGCAAGAAAGGAAAAAGAGCGTTCACCAAGTACAAATGTCCTTGACTCATGGAGTAATTGGTTGGAGGGATTGGGAAGAACCAGTAAAACATGAATGAACATCTTTATCATTAAGAGAACAAAGATATAATAGGGTATGACCATAGATGGATTTTTGAGTGAGAAGAAATTTAAAAATGATGTGCATATCAACCGGAAACCAGTGATGCTTTACCTATAATTCTAAAAATCACAAACCATTTTTCTTGCGCTTCCAGCAAAATATCAATAAAATTGCACATAGAAATACATATTTTTGTAACATTCAAATATTGTGTCATCATTGTCATCTTTAATGTAATTACACTTTGCATATTAATCATTGTTTAAACAAAATACTGTGTTAAGTTCATTTTCTCAATTCATGTTTGTAATGCCTAATAGGTTTCCACATCAGTATATTTATGAATATTCACAAAGTTACAATAAAGTTTTACATTGTATAATATAACATCATCTCCATGAAATTTCTATGAATTGTAACCTGGTGGGTAACATCCTAATTTGGTATCACATTTCATAACAGGGCTGTGCAAATTGAAGACAGTGGTATTTCTTAACAATCTTTCTCCATTCTTGCAGTTGAGAGGTATAAAAAGGGGAAGATGAGAAATGCTGATTTAGAAGAGCCTAAGGTTCCGCGACCCCCATCATCAGTTCCAGCTGTATCACAATTCCATGACTCAGCAGTGCGACGCAAGTTAGCAGGAGTTAAGGATATTGATGGCCTAAGGAAGAAGCTTTGGGTTGCCATGTCAAAGAAAGATATACCAAAGGTCAGGGGTTATTTCTGTTATTTTATTCTTTTTATTTTTTTTGGCATTGTAAGAAAGTCAACAATAAATATATGTGGCAAAGACAAGCCAAACCAGTCACTCGTCGCAAAAATCAATTTTGAGTTATTAATACAGTGTTAGAGAGTAAAATAATAGCTATAAAATGGTAAAAAAATCATTGAAATCGGACATTTCCTTATGAAGTTACAAGCGTTTAACCACACAGCTGTTTAAAGAACAATATATGAGAAACTAACCATCAAAGTTTATGATTTCAGGTATTTCTCATGTAGAAACTATCTTTAAATCCTTAAAAATTATTGTTTTAACATTGAAAATGGGGAAAATAACAGCATAGAATGATGTGTAGATATATAAAGGGTAGTTTAGTGCAATAAAATGGTTTTTAAAAATTTGACATTCCAACATATTTTGGTCATTTTCTCTGAAACACGATTTGCGACGAGGGACTGGTTTGGCTTGTCTTTGCCACATATAAGGACACAAAATTATTATTTATCAATAGCAAGTTCCATTGTAATTCTATTGAATTTTTAAAAAATACAGTAGCTCATAAAATAAACATGCTTTTAAACAATTTGCTAATTCAATATTATATCCTAATCCTAATCAATAACTATATTATTATTATTACATTTATTTACCCAGGGTAGCCCAAACAGTTTAAAAACTAATTTCCATTGGGGCCCTGCATTTTAAGCACTTTTTTAAGCACGGTTATTTTTCTTAAATAATGTCTCATGCAATTTGAATTTGAATGTTTCAAGTCACAGTTCTCAAATTGATATCTAAATCATTCCATATTCGTCCCTGTCGCACTGAAACTCATGAAATAACTTTCACTTTTCGCAAAAGAACCTTCAACTTCATGAGAGATGGCCTAACTAAACTTGCAGTGTGTTTAGGCTGCTTTCGGGGAGACAATTACATATTCTACTTAATATACCCAGTTTGTATGACACTTTCTTAACATATTTAACATGTCAGCATCTCATCACTGATTATACCAACACACCATTATCAATAGTGACATTAAAGTCGCCATTGGAAATTTTCTTTTTGGATCCAGCGAGCATGGATTTAGTTTATACTATTATTATAGAAGCATTTTGGAATTACTATTATTCAGCATTGCTGAAGTTGCTCTGTATATACATGGTAGGATAATATGATAAAACTTCGTAAGAATCGATAGTACTTGACAAAATTAAACAATTAGATTATTTCATCAAGAAGGAAAAAATCATTGTCACAGGCATATGCAATGTATAAAAATATTAAGTTTTTAGAAAAGAAGCCAGTTTGGATGTCTTCAATTGATATTATGGTAAAATATGAATTTATGTGTAGCAGCACTGACATATTTTTTCTGCATATAGGCCTACAAACATCGATCTTCTTTACGCTCTAACAATATTAGCAATGCTAAAAAGCTTGCTCAACTGTGTCAGAAAGAGATCAGACGTTCAGCACTGCAATCACAACGCATTTGTAAGGAGACTGTTCCAAGAGCAAGGAGGCTAACACGGGAAATGATGTCATATTGGAAACACTTCGATCGTGTGGAAAAAGAGCACCGAAAAAAGGCTGAAAAACAAGCGATAGAACAACGCAAGTTGGATGATGAAATCAGAGAGGTTAGAAGCATAGACATTTTGATAATTGTAGGTTTGGCCATTGTAGATCAGCATGGGTAATGCTGTTGACGATATGGCTTACAACCAACATGTGATAGGACAAGTAGGGGTGTGTGTCGGTGTCAAACTGGTTAAATGCTTAATAACTCTATTGCTAGTTCACATTTATATAGATTTAAAGGAATAGATATATTTTGAATGTTAATCAGAATTTTCAGTAGAAATTTTGCAAAGCTATGTATGAATATTGAAATATTATTTTGAATAATATTTTATTTTTCATCTTAAGCTTCATAAAGATCATTGTTCCATCCTGGTATTTAAAGTTATTTGCATTTGAAAGAAATGAAAAGATATATAGAAAATTTTGTTGATGTATGAATTTGCTAAAGAAACAAATATAAATCTTCTACAGGCCAAGCGACAACAGAGAAAGTTGAATTTTCTGATCACGCAAACTGAACTTTATGCACATTTTATGAGCCGAAAATTGACTGGTGAAACAGACCGACACTGTGAGAAAATTCTAAGCAAGTTGGAGGACAATACACCGATGAGAGAAGTCCAGGTTGATGGCGGTGTTCTTGTTGATGTAGAAGGCGATGATTATGGTATGTACTTATGAGATAATGATTTATTTTATTTCTTAAATTATCATTTTCTTTAATTTTTTGTTTATTTTTTGTCTGTAAATGGACCTGAAGTTGCCATCGAATGATAATAATGCTGAGTTATTGAAAAAGATCCAAGCTCAAGAATTTTTAATTAGAAAAGAGAAGATAAATGAAATTGATAACTGGCCCATGAGAAAGGCATTATCAGCTGTTTTGAAGCTGTCAGTGTCTGCGGACCTGGGGAAAACTGGAGGAAGAACTTCTAGTGGCTTGTTGTAGTTGTTTGGCTTAGTGGTCAACGTGCTTGCCTTCTAATCCCAGAGTCCAGGGTTCAATTCCTGTGACTGAGAATGAAAACAAAAAACAAAAAAACAACCCAAATACTCACACAATACAACACAACGGAATGAATGCCAACTTGCAGTGGAACTTGTGTCACCCACTACCCTAATGTTTATTGGTAGAATGTTAATTATCGTCTCTAATGGTTGAAGAAAAACATTAACTCCTATACTACACTAGAATAAAAAAAAAAAAAACCACACTAGAATAAAAAAAAAAAAAAACCAATCCAGACTATAAAATTTTGTTTGACAAAATCATGTGACATGCCTAAATATGGTCATGACATCACATGACCATATATAGCACATCATGACTATATATGGGCATACATCAGTTTTTTGTCAAAGAAAAGTTGATAGTGGAGACAGAGGCTTCAGGATGAAATTCTGTGATAATGATTGACAGTATGTTTAATTTTTCATGTGTATGTCAGCAAGTTACAGCCAATGAATGCATGTTTAATGTTATTTTTCTTAGTCCCCATCATCAGTAATGCCATCTCCTCTTGTGACTTCTAAGTAATTAAGTATTCTATTGATATTTGACTTCTTGTCTCTGATTGAATTTCAGATTGCAGTGAAGCAAAGAACCTTGCATTAAACACAGCACACAGTGCTTTCAAGAAACATGAGCAGAAAACTGCACTTTTTGATGCTGACATTCCGCAAAGATGTAAGCTACAAATATTGTCCATGTAGCAAAACATAATTAGAAAACAAGTATGAAATGTTTATCTAGTGTGTACCGTTAATGTTTATCTAGTGTGTACCGTTAATCATATTCTTGTAATGCTTTCTGCTGCATACACCAATGTGGAGACAACTCAAAAGTTTTCAATTAGTGATGGTCTATGGTCTGAAATTTCTAGAATGCGTGTTAAAGAGAGCTTACCTAAAGAATAGATTATTATATATTTTTATTATATTTAGCTTGTAGTGGATCCGATGCTTTTTTTTAATGTGTTTTTAATGCTTATTTATAAGCCATGAGATATTCCCACCTAGGGCTGAAACATAGGGCAAGCCATTTCACAGTTCATTAACAGTTATGTTGAATAAATAAATAATTAATAAATAAACAGCCCAAACTTTGGTGCCTAAGCATTGTTGGCGAATGATGGTCGGAATGTGGTTCGAACTCGTTCACCCGTTTAAAAAAACGGAAAATGCTGCTCCAAACCACCTTCTGACAACTGCAATTATTTAAATAAATTGAGTTAATTACTTGGTTCCTCATGTTCCATATTCGTCACCGCCAATAATACTGAAATTTACCATTTATTTTAATTTGATAGTTGATCTAGCAAATCCTTACTTGGTTGGTGAAAATGAGATGCCTCAGCCTAAGAATTTTAATGGGCAACTTAAAACCTACCAACTGAAAGGAATGAACTGGCTAGCAAACCTGTATGACTGCGGAATCAATGGCATTCTGGCAGATGAAATGGGCTTGGGTAAAACTGTACAGAGCATTGCATTTCTCACTCACTTAGCAGAGGTAAGAACTTTAAAATATGTTATTAATAATTTCAGATAGTTTTCATCAGGCATTTATTCATATTTACTTTGCATTTACATGATGTTATTTAAAAGTTGTACTCCTATTCTTGTTTCATTAGGAATAATACGAATCTGTAATAAAGAAAGGTCATATACAGAGGAATTGATGAAACACAAGTATTTTCACTGGCATTAAACGTCTCTGCAATACATTATAAATTTTAATTTGCGTTAAGAGAACAGTTTCTATATAGATTTTGAGTAGAAACACACCCCTAGTGATTTATGTGTGACAATTTTGAGGTCATCATTAATTTGGTGTTAATTGTAATGTATTTGTTTTATTCTCAGAAAGAAAAAAAAGTTTGATATTGTGTAGCCATTGAGTTTACTTTCAATGTAGTTGTTATTGTTAGGCATTAAATTGAAATACACCAGTATATATACCGGTACTAATTTATCAATTGACACAGCGTTTGGGTTTCGGTCTCTCAACCTCGAGGTTGGAGGTTCGAACCTTCGCTGTGCATTTCGCTTGTGTTCTTGGAAAAGGCACTTTACCTACATTTGTTCCTTTCCACCCAGGAGTATAAGTGGAAAAAAGGCGGCGTGGAAAGGACTGGCCACCCTACCACACAATACCGAGACTTAATACGAAGAGAGAACAGTTTAGCTCAGTCGGCTAATCTGGTGTTAGCCACTGTGTGTGCGCTGAACTGTGGAGATCTCTAGGTCCCCGGTTCAATTCTCATCGCTGCCTCTCCTTGTGTTTCAGCTAGAGGGCTGAAATACAAGTTATAATAGCGCACCGTCTTTCGGATGAGACATTTAAGCCGTTGGTCCTGTGTGCATTTATGGCCCATGTGCACGTTAAAGAACGCAGTACACTATTCCGAAAAGAGTAGGGGATTGTCTCCCAGTGTACTGCCCAATCATCACCAGAAGGATCCCACTGGAAATAAGTCTTCTTCTAGACTTTCGTGGGCTATCCTTGGTGTTTACACCGAATAAATCCAATCCAATCCAAGGGCTAACAGCTCATTCCCCTACGTTCAATAATGAATACGGAACTACCTTTACTTTTACATCACCTTACTTGTTTATCTTAAAATGTTAATAATGTTTATTATAATTGCAGACGCAAGGTATATGGGGTCCATTTCTAATCATTGCTCCAGCATCTACACTCCACAACTGGCAACAAGAGTGTGCAAAGTTTGCCCCTCGCCTCAAGGTAATAATATTTGTTTTATAGTAGCAGCTTTAATATACCTCTATAGTATACTGTGACTATTGTATAGTATATTGTGTATTCCCTGTAAATGATCTTTATTAAGCTTGCTGACATTAGCATCACAGCATGAATAATTGCAGAATCAGAATGAATTTTATTGTCAGGAAATCATTAGAAAGTCATGAAAATTGTTTTCATCTCCATTGCTTGAGTACAGTATATAGTTAGAAATTATGCCAAAAGTGGGTGATAAAATAGGTGGTCTGTTAAATAACAGGTTTTTAAAACATTAAGAGGTTTTTTTCAAGTAATACTACTAGCTTTGAAGTAAATTTTCATCTGTAAAATAATTGTAGGAAAATAGTTCTTTCAAAATACCGATCATGCATTTTGTTGTAAATATGAAATATGTTTTGGTCCATGCTGTAAAGCAATAGGAACCTTTGCAATGGCCTTTGCATTAATGGATAAATATTAAAGCAATACACAAGAACTTTATTATCCCAACCCCCACCTCCATTCACCCCTTCCATCCAAGGCAGTGTATTATTGAATGCCTATTTTTATAAAAGCCAGGTGCAATTGGCTGACCTCTGCAAATGATAATATTGGACTCTGGGGAATGTACCAATAATGCAATGGCTTTTGCTTTAGATAAGAGGACAAATAGCTGCATATCTCGGCCCTCTCTGAGGTCTTGTTTTTATATTTGTAATCATATAAAAAATTGTATGGTTCAATCTTTGTCACAATTGTAGGCTCTGCCTTACTGGGGTAATCAACATGACAGGCGAGTGTTAAGGAAGTTCTGGAGTCAGAAGCAATTCCATACGGAAGACTCTGAGTTCCATATATTAATCACCAGCTACCAGTTGGTGGTTCAGGACGTTAAGTATT